TATATATATATATATATATATATATATATATATATATTACTTTAAATGAGACATAAGTTAGCCATATTTAAACGAAAATTGGATTCTATGGAATTACCATTGATTTTTAGGAGTAAATTTTCCCTATCTACTCTCTAATTTCCCACTCGCAAAACCCACTAACTCAAACTCACACATGAAAACTACTCTCCCGTTTCCAACTAATTGCTTTCTTTGAATGTATATCAATTTGATTTTATCAACCATAAATTGCATTGACTTTTAAATAGAGCTCGATATAGACGAAGTCGGTTTTTCAACATTCTTTATTATTGTTTAATTTTGTGTTAAAATTTCATCTGTGCATAGTTTATCACTGCTTGTTATTTGATAATAATATCTATGACATATCTCACATTATAATTTTCAGTTAAAATTCTTGTCTAGATTGGTTGTAATCAAAAAATTTTCACATTATTAAAGCAGTGATAAGTCTCTCTCAATTGTATGTACTTTATTTTCTCTATCTATGTTTAACTTTTTTACTGTGACTTTTTTCTTATCTATCCAATAAAGTTATCAACGATTGTAGCACATACACTGTTTCCCATTCAGATTTGGCTGAAGACTGAAATATTTAAAATAATTTTTCATCACTCAGATGACGCATAAATGCCACTTTAATTACAAATTATAAACTGTACATTACATTAAAATTGAAATAAATAAATTATTTAAATTTTATTAATTTTTTTAATCCAAACACTATTCTTTTTCTTTTTAAATCAATAAATGATAAAAAGTTAACTTCTGTTTGTTCTGTTTTCCTAAAAGGACAAACAAAAGGGGAAATAATCCATGTTTTCAAACAAACTTTTTCTAAGAACACTGTAAGAATTTTCATTCAAAAAGTATGGTAAAATAACCGTCATCTGTCTGTCCATCCAATTAACAGTAAAGTTTACGATAAAGAATATATTTTAACTTTACGGTTGAAACGATTTACAACTAGTAAAGTTAAGAAACCATTAATGCAAAACCATACCATTTTTTAACTATTTACAACTAGCATGGTACAAAACTGCAAAACCAGGGAACTTAGTGGCTTCATTAGGTGAGTCTAGTTGGCGTGATAAAATTCTGATTGTTAAACCGTATTAAGGGAAAGCAGTTAATAAACGGTTTTTCTGACAGTTAACAGTCTGAATACCATCTTATTTATGGTTATCTTACTGTTTCATTTGAATACGGTAAAATAACAACTAAATAAATTATTGAACCATTTTTTCAGTAAAAATTTCTTACAGTGAATAAACTTTATAACGAAATTACAGATAGTGTTTTGAACTACAAAGATAAAAAAGTAAGCTTCTTTCTTTTTTAGGTGGTCGTTACAGTGTGTTTTCTACTGGCGAATTATACATACGCCAAGCAGATTCTGTAACCGATGGGATGCGGAAGTTTTATTGCCAAACAAAACATCGCATAAGTGGCGCAATCAAGCAAAGTAGTTCATCAGGAAGAGTAATAGTTACAGGTGAAGTACAACTTTCTGTCTAGTGGAAGTATATTATTGTAAGAGAATTATTTAAATGTGAATTACCAGTTGAATTCGAACTATTTTTACTTAGTAAGAAAAATTTAAAATTTCCAGTTCTTGTAGAAATTATATACAATAATGATAATGTTTATACGATTCAAATAATCATTAATTTTTGCGAAATAATAACTATTCTTTTATTGCTGCTGTTGGTGATTTTGAGAAACATTTTCTAAGGAACAGATATCATCAAATATCTCAAACAAATATCATCTGCCTTTTCTTTTTTTCTGATACGGTTTCTATATATTTGAAGCAATTGGTCTAAATAATTAAATCCATGAAGTATAATATAAATATATTTGCTGAAATAAAATATACTATATATGAAATGTAATATATTTTCTGAACTAAAATAAATATATTTTAAATTATATTGGCAAAATATACTGCTAAATGCTAAATGAAAGATATAATTATTTCTAATTTAAAAAAGACATTAACAGCTATAACAGAATAGGGAAATTTAGATTGAGTAATTTTATAGCTTATAATATAAATACCCTTAACATTTAAAAGATAAATTACTACAAGTGCGCGTTTTAAATAAAATTAAATTATTCACTTTTTCAATATTATATAAAAAAATAATTTTCCTTTCTTCTTTCTATCCATGTTTTGACATTTTGACTTAAATTTACAAACTTAAATATGCTTTTTTTATTTCAAAATTGTATCTAAACCAAAAATAAATATTAATTTTTTTTAATTTTATATAAACCTCTGCACAATTTCAGAGCTCATATAATAAAGTACGCTTTTTCATTCAATTAATGCGTATTCAATTGATACAAATCCGGTTTTGTTCAACGACTTGATTAAGTTTTGAAAGTTTATCTTATAGTTTTTTGCTAATAAAACATTTTCGTCTCTAAAACTATCAGTGTTACTCCTTCTTTTTTTAGTCTCAAAAATTTATGTTTCACTATTTACATTTTTCTTGAGAAACGAAACGTCAATAGTCTTTAAAGGACAGAGAATTGTCCACGGGTTAGTAATAGAGAGATTTGCGAATTGTTAACAGATAATTCATGAAATAAATCATTAAGAAATTAAAAGGCTAAAGAATTTAATTTCATTTCAATGAGATAAAACAATACGCTTCGTGATGCCACAAAAGTTTTTCTTCTTCTTTCATAATAATACATTTTCATTTCCTCTCCTATTAATAAAGAGAAACAAAATAATTGTTATCCTATAAGTAATCTGTGGTAATTGTTGTTAAGATACATCAGGCAAATACGCATTGTACTGAAATGTCAGTGGCAGATTTAAATAAAATTTATTTATTTAATTATTGAAATAAAATGTAGCTGTATAGAATTTAAAGAAAAAACATTCAATGCAGCATTTTATTTAAATTATTCTAACAATTCATTCTTTTAAAAACGCTTTTTCACTCTTATAATGTAACCAAATCCATTTTTCAAAAAATTGTCTCTTCTTTGACATATTTTATCGCATAGTTCCTTGATGATAGAACACTTCTTATCAACAAAAAAAATATGTATATAAAAATTTTATACTTCCTCATGCCTAATAATTTTGTGTTTCACTTTTTACGTTTTTCTTGAGCAATGAAAAATCAATAGTCTTTAAAGTAGGGAGAATCATCCACAAGTTATGAAATGAAGAATTTACAAAGTGTTTTCTGATAATTCTAGTGATCAATCATGAAGAAATTAAAAGCTTATGAGCTGTCAGAATATTTTTAAGTTACGCAATGTATTCTTCAACTAAAGAACCTAATTTCATTTCAATCAGAAAAAAATATGATAATTCCTGATGGTATGAAAGTTTTTTTCACCCAAACAGTTACTGTTTATTTCCCCTTCGATAAGCAATAAATAAAATATTTTTATCACGTAACTAACACTGGAAAACAATTCTTTGTTGCTTTCATTCAAAAACTTATACTCGCCTGATTCGAGTGGGGGGAGGATTTCAGATCTTAAATTAGTTTTGCTACTGATTTCTTTTAAAATGGCATATTTAGTCTAATTTTTGACAAAATGTGCAATATTAAAAACTTTATATATAACAGGGGGTCACATAAAAGCTGCGACAAACATCTAGCGAAGTTAGAGCACATCATCAGATTTAAAATTGCACTGGAACCCATGCTCGGGAATTTCGTCTTACGCAGATAGGGGCTCTTCTCTATCATGATGTGTTCAAAAAGACCTGAAATAACAGTTCATTATTGGAAAGCGCCTCTAGTGGCGTATAGCCACATTTACGGCGAGATGTTCGTATGCAATTTTTAGCCTGATGATGTACCCTAATTCACCAAGCAGTTTGTTGCAATATTCTTGCGACCCCTTGATATATATAACGTTCTTAGATGTGTACATTTCGACAAAAAATAGATTAAAAATGTAGCTAAAAACTTTAGCTTGGAGAGAGAAACTGATTGCAGATTTGAAATCAGTGATACAAAAGTATCTAGGATCAAAAAAACTCATGCAACAGAAACAAAAAAAAAATTGTTCCCCAGTGAAATCTAAGTTATTGTTAAGATACACCAGTGAAAAAGACAGAAAGTTAAAGAAAGGTTAGTTGCAAACTTGAATAAATATTTTCAATTATTTATTTATTTGGAAAATTTTAACTTAGAAGTTGTTGTTTTTCTTAAAACGTCATTTTAGAATCTCATACTAACATTTTTATCATTTAGGAAATTCCTATTTTTACGCCTGTTTTCCACTCAAATGATTTAAAAAATTCCTTTTTTTTTCAAGTAATTGACTATATTGATTTGTATGCCAAAATATTTTATAATTCCTTTCTTAAGTCAAACTTGAGAAGAAAAAAAATTCAATAATATTTAAAGTACAGAAAATTGTCCAAAGGTTATGAAATAACAAATATACAAAGTGTTTTCAGACAACGCTAGTAATCAATCATAAAGAAATTAAAAGTTTATGAGCTGTCAGACTATTTTTAAGTTACGCAATGTATTCCTCAACTGAAGAATTTCACTTCGGGGTGAAAAAATAAAATGTTTCTGGACGACAGAAAAAATTTTCTTTTCTAACAATACAACATTTTCCTTTTACTTCACATTAATAAAGGAAACTAAATTAATTCTTTTTATCTCATAAGTAATCAGTGGTTATTGCTGTTCAAACAAATATATTTCCTTAATTAAAAACAATATACAAAGAAAATAAAGAGCATTTTAATTAAGAGACATAGAAAAATAAAGAATACAAACAATAAAACAACGAACGAATAGTTTTCCAACCTATTTCTTCCTCTTATAACGAAGTTTAATAATTTTTCTTTTCAATGAAGTGTCATTTCCATATCTTTTACAAATTTCATCATTTATCACAAGTATTACGTTCACACTTTTTTATTCAATTCTCTTAAATTATAACTTTTTTTGATAAATATACATTTAGAAATAGCTTTACTCCTTTGAAGTGTTCTTCACAATATTGAGCTAAATAAGACAGAATCAATAAAGTACATCTTGGAATTGTGACACCGGAATATAACAAACTGATTAAATGTTGATATTAAGTACCTATGCTTTATTTTATTTTTATTTTTTACTTTTAAGGAGCATTTTAAAGCTTACTTTACCGAGTCCAGCAATTCAACTAAGACATTTTGGAATTTTTTTCAGAAAAACAAAGAAATTAATAAACAATTCTAAGAAATTTTTCCTTGTTATGTGAATAATTCACTGTTAAATTAATTATTCCAAAAGAGTACAATACAAAATATCTTGCCGAACAGCTTTTTCTTAAGTCTTCAGTAAGCTTTTCTTCTTGAAGAATGTACTACTAAACAAACACAAATGGCGCCTACAATTTTTAAGTTAGGAAAAAACTATTAGTCTTTCCGATATATATNTTTGTTTTGTTTTGTTTTGTTTTGTTTTGTTTTGTTTTGTTTTGTTTTGTTTTGTTTTGTTTTGTTTTGTTTTGTTTTGTTTTGTTTTGTTTTGTTTTGTTTTGTTTTGTTTTGTTTTGTTTTGTTTTGTTTTGTTTTGTTTTGTTTTGTTTTGTTTTGTTTTGTTTTGTTTTGTTTTGTTTTGTTTTGTTTTGTTTTGTTTTGTTTTGTTTTGTTTTGTTTTGTTTTGTTTTGTTTTGTTTTGTTTTGTTTTGTTTTGTTTTGTTTTGTTTTGTTTTGTTTTGTTTTGTTTTGTTTTGTTTTGTTTTGTTTTGTTTTGTTTTGTTTTGTTTTGTTTTGTTTTGTTTTGTTTTGTTTTGTTTTGTTTTGTTTTGTTTTGTTTTGTTTTGTTTTGTTTTGTTTTGTTTTGTTTTGTTTTGTTTTGTTTTGTTTTGTTTTGTTTTGTTTTGTTTTGTTTTGTTTTGTTTTGTTTTGTTTTGTTTTGTTTTGTTTTGTTTTGTTTTGTTTTGTTTTGTTTTGTTTTGTTTTGTTTTGTTTTGTTTTGTTTTGTTTTGTTTTGTTTTGTTTTGTTTTGTTTTGTTTTGTTTTGTTTTGTTTTGTTTTGTTTTGTTTTGTTTTGTTTTGTTTTGTTTTGTTTTGTTTTGTTTTGTTTTGTTTTGTTTTGTTTTGTTTTGTTTTGTTTTGTTTTGTTTTGTTTTGTTTTGTTTTGTTTTGTTTTGTTTTGTTTTGTTTTGTTTTGTTTTGTTTTGTTTTGTTTTGTTTTGTTTTGTTTTGTTTTGTTTTGTTTTGTTTTGTTTTGTTTTGTTTTGTTTTGTTTTGTTTTGTTTTGTTTTGTTTTGTTTTGTTTTGTTTTGTTTTGTTTTGTTTTGTTTTGTTTTGTTTTGTTTTGTTTTGTTTTGTTTTGTTTTGTTTTGTTTTGTTTTGTTTTGTTTTGTTTTGTTTTGTTTTGTTTTGTTTTGTTTTGTTTTGTTTTGTTTTGTTTTGTTTTGTTTTGTTTTGTTTTGTTTTGTTTTGTTTTGTTTTGTTTTGTTTTGTTTTGTTTTGTTTTGTTTTGTTTTGTTTTGTTTTGTTTT